GTTATAAATTTTAATTATTATTTGTTTAGGAGATGTGATATTTGAGTGGAAAGAAAGCAAAATAGCGCGGGATTGCTGTTTTTGTAAAATGACAAGGAGTGACAAAACAAAACACAAAGTCACTCAATCTTTCAAAATATCTCTGCCCCTATCGACAAGAGTTTCACACACATGAATAACTCATTAAAATGAACAGTTTAAGTTTATAAGGCAAACATCAAAGTGATTTTATTAAATAGAAAATAAAAAAACAAAATTTTCTTACATGTATGGAATTAAATTGGCTAAAAACTGCCTCGAAAACTGCAGTTAAAAAGCAGTTTTAGGTCAGGAAAACCGACTAAAATAAGCTAAATAATGGTGTGAAAACTGAAAAGCACCATAGAAACAAAAAACAAAACAACCAAAGCAAAAATAAATTCCCAATTTATAAAAATACAGATTTTATATAAAAAAAAAACAAAAAAAAGTTTGAAACTAGTTGTTGAATTCGCAACGAAAAATACAGATTTACTCACACATACAGTGGGAAAATGCAGTAGACAGATCGATTAGATGAAGGAAATCAGGTTTACATGAAATAAATAAAGTTTATTTCCTTTTTTGCTCTTCTAAAATGAAGAAAAACACAACCCGAGAGTCGCGGACCCATCACTTCCCGCCATGAAAATGCAAAAAATGTTTGGCCGCGCGGGTAAGGAGACTGAGAATGACGCGCAAGAATGGCTTCAAAATCCGCCATCTTTGGCTTCACTTTTTGATTACGTCAATGACTGAAGTCAGCCTTCCATGTATATAGTTCACTGACGTAAACTAGGCACCAGGCCCCCGGCCAATGCGCGAACTATTGCTGCTTGCATGTCTGCATTTTCAATCAGTTATTGACTGTTAATTTTATCTATAATAAATTAATGGAAAGTCATGAAAATTCTCAGCAATTATTAAATAAAACACAATAAATTCAAACTTTAGAGTGTAAATTAGAATGTATAGTATGGTATCAGGGGCGACGGAATGTAGGTGACAGTGGCGTAACGTTATATCAGGGGGCCCCCGGTTCAAAATTTTCGAAGGCCCCCCTAGTAGAAGTGCCAAAGGCACAAGTCGAGCGCCGTATATGCACGAGTTTTTAGGGGTCTAGGGCATGCTCACCCGGAAAATTTTTGAATCTAGACTCTCTGAAATACCATTTCCCAGACTTTGGGGAGAGATGTTACAGAATTCTGATGGTCAGAAAACGACATTATGACATATCAGAGGCCCTGGCCAATGCTTTTGCTTCACAGCCTGAGCTTGGGGGCCCCCATTTGGCCCATTGGGGTTGGGGGCCCCCGGGTTCGCCCGGTCCGAGCCCATAGTAGTTACGCCACTGGTAGGTGAAAGATATCTTCTTTCCTGCAGGAGGGGGGGGAAATAAAGCATTTTAATAAAAATAAACACAATATTTTTCTCAAATTTACCTCAGGGATGGATTCAGCATGATCTAGGAGGGGGATTGGGGGGCACCTCAAAAACAACTTTCTTTTTCAGACATTTTTCGACCTCAATGTTTCAGAATATTCCTTAATATTTAACAAGTTCCACAATCCCAGCATTCCTGGGCCCCCGAGCTGGGGGAAATTGGGATCCCTTTCTTGACTTTTCCTTGGGGGGCGGCGTTATACCCTCACACATCCCCTCCCCCAGTAAATCCATCCCTGATTTACGTTAACAAATTAATTAACAAAGATAAATACGATAGGGGAGAATTCTTATGTTTAATTAATCTTGTGCACAGCCGCAATTAACCGAGTTGCAAATTCTCTCCTAAGCATGCAAAAATACAGGGACCGCGGAACAGGGGGAGGCTGGGGCCATGGCCGTATAAAATCCAGTCTGCCTGAGTGAGCTATCGCCCGTGCTATCCTGCCTTCCCCCCCCCCCCCACACACACACACACACACTTCAAAACAGTCTCCGCGGTCCCTGTAATACATATGCAGATTATTCTAGAAATAAGAATTATACAATTAAAATGAATCTATATACAAAATATGTTATATATGTCTTTAAACACAAGAATTGAATGCCATCCTATAGTTCCTGTAGTTAAATTTTAACAAATTTTAAATTTTCTTTCCGTTCAAGAAAATTTAAGAAATAATTTCTTATGTTAAGAATTTGATTTCTTGTTTTAAGAAACTATTTCTTAAAACAAGAAAACCACTATTTTGTTAAGAAAATGATTGATAAGAAGATGAAAAAATCGTAAGAAAACATATTCTTGTTTTAAGAAAACAAATATAATTCTTATGTTAAGAATTTGATTTCTTGTTTTAAGAAAGTATTTCTTAAAACAAGAAAATCATCTTTTCTTAACAAAATGATTGATATGAAGATGAAAAAATCGTAGGAAAATACACTCTTGGTTTAAGAAAACAAATATAATCCAAGATATGTTAAAATTTTTTTTTCTTATTTCAAGAAAAAATATCTTGCCAATGAAATATTTCTTATTTTAAGAATCTTTTTCTTATTAAGAAAATCCGTTTCTCGTTTTAAGAAATAATTTCTTAAATTAAGAATTTTTTTCTTAATAAGAAAATGATTTTTTGCTGTGCATTAACGTGTTTCCACTTCACTTCCATTGTGGGTGATTTTCCAAGATTCCCCATATCAGTTTTCCTTAATATATCGATTCGAATGGTCGAAGTATAAGTTAGTACGTTCGTTTCCGCAAAGTGTTGATCAATTTACAATGTTTATATTCGATTTAAAACTATTGAATTTTGACAGTAAAAACGCGCCATAGTTTGCTTTCACAGGATTTGATAAGAATGTTGAGCCATCAAATGTGCAGAATAAAAATCAAAACTTTCTCTTGTGAAAGGTTAAATGTTTCATTAGCCTTTAAATGAATAACATACGTACGTATATAATACCCTAGACACCCTAGAACTTAAGACCAAACTATATAGAGAATAATACATGGCTGCGCGGAAATACCAGATTTATTTCGAGTGTTGAACATGATATCTCACGAGTAACACGAGAAATAAATCTGGTATTTCCAAGCACCCATGTATTTTTCTGTTTATTATATAAACCAAATTCAGTGAAAAGCAATAAAACGTCCGTGGGAATGGGTCCGTGTTTCACAAATGATATTCAGTTTCACACGTAAAAATATCGTATTTTTTACGTGTGTTTAAATAGATTTTTCTCAGTGGCCAAAAACTCTATAGGCCCTATAACACTTATGTTTATATAATAAATATATTATTATTATTATTATTATTAAGTCTTTATTAAACATAGCCACAACAGACGTGTGACTTTACATTTAAAATTCTCATATACAAGGTTCCAAAAAAAAAATAAACTTAATTATTATTATGTATCTAAGTTAATTATTCTTAGGTAGAATTCTTAAAAAGACTAAGACTAAGTTATTATTATGTATCTAAGTTAATTATTTTAGCTAAAATTATTAAAAAGACACCTATTTAAAAACGACCGTTTGAATCTTTCTGTTTTAACCTTAGGTAATATGAAATCGTGTTCGCGTTCTCTTAACGGTCTTTGTCTTTTAGGAGGAAGTAGTTCGTATAAAGGGTGGTCTGGGTTGCTACATATTTTTTCAAATAAACTCATGTCTCTTTCTTTAATCACATCAATTATCTGAACACTTTTTGTTGTGTATCCATATTTGTATGCTCGCCTAAGAAATTTATCAATCCGTTCCAGGTACTTCTTTTCAAGTGCAGAACCCCATACTTCGATTCCATAAGAAAATAAAGACATAATAAGTGCGTCGAAGAGAATTGTTAAATTTTTTTTAGAGTAGCCATACGATCTGCATATTCTCAAAATGTGCATTCGACTGCTAGCTTTAGATATCAAATTATTAACTTGAAGGTCCCAACAATTTGGATCATTCTGCAGTGTGGTTCCCAATAGTTTCAGCCAAGTCTTGCGTTCGATACCCGTTATTGGTTCTGGTAAAGGATTTGTTGATTTGCCACTTACAACCATTTCCCATGTTTTATCTAGATTTAATGACATTCTGTTTGTTTCCGTCCATTTTTCAATATTGTCTACCTCAGCTAGTGCGGAGTCATAATTATTTTTCACTGGAGCGCTAACAGTCATCTCATCTGCAAATTTGACTAGTATGTTGTTATTTGGATCTTTGACTGTTAGATCATTTATCATTAAGGAAAATAGAAATGGTCCAAGAACTGTGCCTTGCGGTACTCCTTTGTTTATGTCTACATAATTTGTTTCTATTCCGTTTACTATTTAACAAATATAAAACATTTTCCGTGTTGATATACAGTTATATCAACACGAGTGGAAATTGGGAAAACGAGAAATTGTGTGGAAACACGACGCCCGAAGGGCGGAGTGTTTTCACACAATTTCGAGTTTTCCCAACTTCCACGAGTGTTGATATAACTATATATCAATACGGAAAAATGTTTATATTTGTTTTATAATATAGCAATGTCAAAAGCCCGAAGAATAAGAAAAATTTCCGTGTTTACAAGCGGCGGAAAATTTCCCGTGTTGACATGGAGTTATATCAACACGGCTCTTAGCCAATCAGCGTTCAGAATTTACAAATGCTATATTATAATACTCTTTGTCAAAAAAATTTCTAATCCAATTTATTACATATGGATTAATGTTGGTTTTTCCTAGCTTCTTGCAAATGATGTTGTGAGAAACGGAATCAAAGGCTTTCTTGAGATCGAATGAAATCACCCTGACATGATCAACATCACCATCCAGCCAATTTAGCCATTTATGGTGACACATAATAAGAGCATCAGTTGCGCTGGTACCTTCCTTATATGCGAATTGGTCAGATTTTATTAATTGTTTTAGTTCTGATGAGATCTCTTTTTTAAACACTATTCTTTCGAACAATCTCATTATTACGTTCGTAAGAGATATAGGCCTTAATTGTGTACATTCTATAAGGGGGCTTTCCTTAGGTATTGGATTAAGATTGGCTAATTTCCATAGGAGGGGAACGCGTTGCTGTTCCAATGACATGTTAAATATCTTTGTTATCACTGGTGCTAGATATTTTGCGAAGTCTTTCCATACCCAATAGGGTAGGCCATCAGGACCTGTTGATGTTTTCTTTTGTTTTTCCAAAAACCTTTCTACAGTGGGTATATCAACATTTGGTACTCTAGTCTCATTGGGTATAGGAACGAGTTCAGGATATGTATAATTATCATCAGTGTTTATTGTCTGGAAATAACTATTTATAACACTTGGATCAATATTTATACTGGTGTGATTTGCCTTCCTACCGGTGATTTTATTAACTGTGTCCCACCATTTCTTCGATCCAGATGCATATTTCCCATTCTCCTTCTTAACTTCACTAACCATATTTTCTCGGATAAGCTTATTTATCTTTCTTTGTAGATCTTCGTTAACTCCTTTCCTCACACTTTTATTGCGTATTTTACATAAATGTTTTACCAGAGGAGACATGTATGGGGGATCCCGTGTGGATAATTTTATCTTAATCAATGGAAAACTGTTGTTGAATGCAGAAGTGATAATATGATTTAATAACATAACTGATTCGTTCACGTCTTCACAGTCATCAATACAGCTCCAGTCTTGTGCTTCCAACTCTCTCACCATAGCAAACTTTCGATGGTCTCTTGCATCTCTAAAATAAACTGTTTTTCTTTCCGGTTTTACAGCTACCCGTGGAGTTATCACGACAGCCAAATGGTCAGATTTTACTAAGCCATCAAAGACTCTAGGGTGATTCCATAAGTGTGGACAATTAGTTAGGAAAATGTCAAGTATTTTCTGACCTCTTGTAGGTTTTCTCACCATTTGTTCCATATTATGTTGACTTATAATATCCTTAACCTTCAGTTGATTAACATCTCCTCCAATTATAATTCTGGCATTTGATTCCCACTGAAGAATTTGCTCTATACTCTCTGATAAATGATTTAGTAATTTGCTTTCCTGATATGTGGGGTCCGGAGGGTGATACACAGAGGCGACATAGTATTTGCTATTTGCTGTCTCAATTTCACACCAGATGCATTCCAAATTATTTTGAAAGTTTAGAGATTTATATTTCCAATCTTCCCGACAAATTATAGCAACACCTCCTCCATTTCGACCATCGCCGCGATCTTTTCTTACAATAAGATAGTTATTGGGACATACTAAATTTGATAATATCTTACTGTTCAACCATGTCTCGCACACGAAGCAGATGTCAATTTCCCATGTAGAGATAGGCTATATCAGCTATTTCGAGTGACGGGCTTATAGCTAACCAACTGATGAAAAATCCAGAGGAAAGATTTGACGCGAATTCGTGTATACAATTTCTTAATGAGCAGCTTTTACCGGCAATGAATCCGTTCAACGGGGGAAAGCCCGCGATCTGTATCGTAATCGGTAAGAGTAATTAATGCAAAATTAACTAACTTGATTGTATATAAATAAAACCAATACTTGTTGTTGTGATGAGCACAAGTTTTTAAGCCCCTGGGAATTTTCAACCTAATGCATGTGTGTCTAGTCTTTCGTAATCAGTCATACAGTATCCTATTAGTTCGATTATAATTCTGTTTTACCATAGACAATCCAGAAGACATATACATACGAGCAACTAGCTAGCACTGTTAGAAGATTTATAATTGTATATATAGAGCTATATCATGTTAATAACCGTTGTGACAAATTACTAAAAACATCAATTTAAATTCTCGTGGAGACTCTTATAAAAGTAATATTTGCTGGGACTTGCAACGTATAGAACGTTGGAGACAAAGGATTGCTCAACCTCGTTCCCAGGGCCTTTTAAGGAAGGAGGCGAAGGGCAGCAAAGGCCCTGGTAAAGGCTGGTGAAATAATCCACAAATTGTGGATTATTTTGTCACGTGATATATCGGAGCAAATAGTATACAGGGGGGTGCGATCGCGGATCGCTTTAGCTACAATATATTCGTTAATATTGCATAAACACCGAAATCGACAAATAAAGAACAAAAATCTATTTTAAAATGAAAAAATCTGTGTTCTTCCAAAAATATTGAATAAATTTGAAATTGTCTTCAAATTAGCTCTGAGAACCTTGGTTGATTTGTAAAGGAGATCTATTAAATAGACAAAGCAACAGTGCAAAACGAATGGATCGATAGAAGCATTTATACTATGAATTTAATACTGTCGCAAGGAAATTGCTGCCTCGATTGTGAAACAGATATGTAAAATCACTTTAATTTAATAATATGGACTCCATGATCATCAAAACATTTAATAGTTATTGTTGCTACAGTAGATCTTTCTTGCAAATGTCAATATACAGTATATTTATTAAACAGTTAAAGGGTCAGTACAAGACCCAAAGAATGTCTGAAAAACAAGGAATGTCGAACATCGTATGCACTTGGAATTTAAATGCTTATGTTAGCCATATGCCCCGAGTATAACCTGGTTGACCTCCGTGGTTAAATTAACATTTCCTGAATTTAATTGAGTTGAAATATTTTATTTGATTTTCATTCTTATCCCAAGAACATTGTGAACACACATATAGTGCTTTGGGTTTAGATTTCAAAGGCCAAGCTTCAAAACAAATGTTGTGATCTTAATGATCAGGCATTCCCAAACAATTACATGCATGAGGGTCAAATCAGACAGAAAGCCTCCATATGCTTTATCAAGGCTGAATAATATAATGAGATGGAATTAATTTCCTCATTATACTGTTAACAACCCTTTTTTTTGTTTGTAATCAATTACACAAATTACTTCCCAGAACATTATTTAAGGAGATTATTTGACAAGTCAGCAGGTACATTTTTTCCTGAGCCACAATTGGGGCAATTCAGTGTCACTCATCACAACAGGCGCTCAAAATCACTCACAACATACAACAGGCAGTTCAGCATCACTCACCACAATTGACTGTTCAATACTGTGTGCCTCAGTAGGCAAATCAATAATCAATATTTTGCTCAGATCAACAACAAATATCAAAATTGAACTCATTCTCAAAACATGATACAATAACAAGGGGTCTCTTATGGACAAATACAAGACACCGGCCTGGTGTCAAATGTATCAAGTGACAAGATTATTCATCTCTTTTAGTTTAAATACATTTTGCCGCCTTGTAATAAAGTACTATTTGTTGTTGGTGACCATCAGTTGAGCAATTTAAAACATTTGCAGCGTATGCTTTATCAGACCTAAAGATACTTGGCTTCACCTCGTATCTTTATACCTGATACAACTATAGTACTGTACATAAAATAATAACCATGATATTTAGCCTGAATATTATTATATATGTATGAAGGATATTATACATATATTCTTGATGCTCAACATTATCCGATAATAATTTAACATGAAATCCGATAATCATTTAACTATTGAGAATTGTGTGAATTCCTGAATTACTTATTGTTACAGACTGTACTGACCTCTTGCAATTATGGTTATTAACCAAAATCTGACAATATCTCTAGTTAATCCATTGAGCTGCAATGTGCCCCAGTGTGCCCTACTTACTGAAATTGACTGATTTGTGGTTTATGGGGTTTTCTGTGGCAATTCGTTGGGCATCACAAGTGCATTTGTATATCTTAATACACTGTGAGAATACAAGTATTAGTATTTAAATGACACAATTTGATGTAAGTTACCTTTCAGGTATATAATTTGTATACAGCATCAGTGGTGTAACTTAACTTTTTTGACCACTTGCCCTCAGGGCAAGTTGGACATGAAAATTGGTTGCCCTGAATAAAATCCACTTGCCATCAGGCAATGGGGTACCTACGCGGGCCAGTATAAATTAGGGAGGCAACATATCCACTCATTGGACTAGTGGCATTGGCTATGTTACTGCCTCAGATCTAGACTACCTCATATCTAGCTTTGGCTCACATATTAAACAAAATTTGAATCAAGTACACTTATTTAATGTAACACTAATCACCATTATTTATTTTTTTTATTAGTTTTACAATAAGAAATTGAAGGCACAGACAACAGGACTAATAAAGTCCCAAATTAAGTCCTGCCATAAATTAAGTCCTGCCATATTTCGTTATCATATCATGAATAAACATTTAATAACCAAA